AGTTGAATCTCAAAATAGCGCTAACTCGCCAAAAACGCTTCAAAATGGCCTGAGACGCTGGTAATCAACAAAGAAAACAACAAGACCATAAGGTAAGTCCATTTTATTTCAAAACAAGACATTTTTTTCTCTCTTATAAGGCAAACCGATAACATCCTATACAAACCTTTATAAATATAAAACTTTGCGCAACACTGTAAGAGTCACGTCCGCTTTTCTAGTAGTGAGCTTGGGCTGCCTGTGGATTTACCAGAAGGAAATCGCTTTGACCGTTTGCCTACCATCTTTTTTCACAAGAGTCTATTGAAGCAGAAGATCGCGCAGCTGTGCCAAGGCTGCAAGGGGAGACTTGCTCGCAACATAAGGAGGAAAGGTTACGATATTTCTGCTTCTCGTGAGAGGCGTGTGTTTGTCCAATTTGCGTGACTGAAGACCACCGAGGCCATACACTTGACGTGCTTGAAAAAGCAGTGCAAGAGGATAAGAAAAACATCATGTCCAACGTCGAGAACATCAAGGAAAAGGCAAACTTGTTTCGAGAAGAGATGAGAAAACTGGAAAAAACATCTGAAGATGTCGAACTGATTATGATAATCGCTAAACAAGAAGTGTCTGAGGCTGCTGAACACGTAATCACAATGACGCGACAAGAAAAACAGCTGTTGAAGTCCCAAGAAATGACGCGTAGGAAGATAATATAGTGAATCAACTCGGCTAAACTAGAACTGGAATCTCTGGTGAGACAAATGTACCGAGCAGCTGAGTTTGCGGAGAATCGGGTACAGAGAAGCTCAACTGCGGATACTATAGAGAACAAAAGTTCTTTGATGCAGAAATTTGAAGAGCTCCGTGTAGTCGAAGTTCCAAAATATCGCCAGACTACATTTGTCAAGTTTACCGCTATATGCCTCTACAACTTCGAACTGGGTTCTATTCAAGCCACTGAGAAACCGTCAAACGCTGCTAAATTGACTCTGAAAGGACTGGATCGAACTTTCCAGGCTGGTGTACAAGCAGAGTTTATGTTGTGCCCAAAGACATCTGGAGGAGAGATGAGTGACCAGGATGATCTTGAAGATCAAATCCAATTGCTGATAAAACCCGCCAAAGATGTAACAAACGTGAATATCGAAGACAAATATGACGGAAATCTTAGGTTAATATTTACTCCCAAAGTACCTGGGGCCTACAGTGTTGAAGTGAAGATTAATGGCGATAAACTACCTACCTGTCCCGTGACCGTGCAAGTCAAAGAACGTGAACTTGTTGTGGTCGGCGAGTTGAAGCTAAAGGTATTTCCAGGAGACACGCTGAAAGGATTAAATGGAATTGCTGTGAATACAAAAGGCGAGATAGTTGTGACAGATGACAGTCACCACTGTGTTTATGTTTTTGATATAGATGGAAACTGTTTGAGAAGAATTGGAAGCAGAGGGAGCAATACAGGACAATTTCTTTACCCTAGCGGAATTTTGTTTTTAAATGACAACGAAATCTTAACCGCAGATAGCGGCAATAATAGAATACAACGACTGAATGTTCAGAAAGGAACTATGTTGAAAAGTTTTGGGAAACGTGGCAGAAAAAGGAGAGTTTAATGCTCCAACAGAGGTTACTGTGGAAGATGAAGAGCGCATTGTTGTAACCGAGTGGGGCAATAATAAGATACAGGTGATGTTTACATTTGGAGACAACGGCCCAGAGAAACTCCATCGGCCAGCCTGCTGCATTCCTTGCAAAGACATGTTTCTCGTTTCTGATCAGTGGAATCACTGTATCAAAGCTTTTGATCAGTCAGGAACATTTTTATACAAGTTTGGCAAAGAAGGGAGTCAAGATGGACAATTTTACTTGCCGCGTGGTTTGCTTATAGACAGCTCTAGTAATCTTCTAGTATGCGACGTTGGCCATGATCGAGTTCAGCAGTTTTCTTTGGACGGTCGCTTCACAGGCAAAAGTATCACTCATTTAGCGATATCTATGGCGATAACAACAGCACCAGATGAGAGTATTCTTGTGACCAGCTCTTACAAAAAAAAAAGTGTACGTTTTAATATAGACTTTTTTTAAAGTGAAATTTGCTTCTTGAGCCATTCCTCACCAGTCTGTTGATTTAATGTTAATGTTGTACTATCACTCTTAGAGACAAAAACCTTTTGACTTGAAGTAATTACCCAAGTCTTTGAAATTTCGTCAGTTTCAAGCTGTTTTAATCTGCTTCATCCATCGCCACTTGGCCATCCGTGTTTCTCCTCAGTTTATTAAGGCCCTGTTTACAAGCAGGTAGGGTAACCCTAGTGCTAGGGTTACCCTGGCAGGAGGGTTACCCTAACGCTCCCACATTTCTTCTTTTTTTCATCGACGCGTTTACAAGGTAGCTAGGGTTACCCTAGCACTAGGGTAAGCTGAACGCTAGGGTTACCCTAGCGCCAGGGTTACCCTAGCGCTGGGGTAGCTCTAGCTGCCTTGTAAACGCTCTGCTGGGGATAACTCGCCTAACCGGGACAACTTTTTACTTGTTTCCAGACCCTTTGAACATTGATAACAATGCGTGCGGTTACCAAGCATAGGTAAGTTGTCCCGGGTGGTAGGGTAACCCTACCTGTGAAATTTTGCTTATAAACCCGGGCTATCTTTGACCCGCCTGCTAGGGTAACCATAGCACAAGGGTTATCCTCCTTGCTTGTAAACAGGGTCTAATATCCCTATACATATACGAGTTATTTTTTTGCATTTGTATGGACCGAGACGAAGCCGAGGTCCATAAAAATATGAAAAAAGAACGAGGCTAATATCCAGTCTTATTATCCAACTACACCTAGACGAGTAGAAATAACGCCATAGACGAGTACAAATATCACGCGGTATTTGTACTCGTCTATTGTAGTAGCGGTTAAACAGGTTTTATCGCATCGCGCAAGCGAAGAATTGGATTGTAGTTACGAAAAAAAAAAAAGTGGCGGACAATTTGAATTATATTTCCGAGGTCGAAGACTCAGAATGGCTGGCAAATATAGGTCCAAGTTCATTAGATGAATCGAACGAAGAAAAACAGCTTGATGACCAGAAAATTTCTTCATTTAATGAAGAAAATAGAAACAGCGACACAACAACGAGCCAATTCCGTTCCGCTTCACATTTTTCTGTCACGCACTACCCGTAAATAAATATCCGCGAAATTCGCCCGCACTGAAATAACAGTTTTGCGTTTTGGAAAACAAATATCTTAAACGTTTTGTTGTGTAGTATCGCTGAGTATTTTTACTCGTTATTTGTATTTTGACTCGCCCTACGGGCTCGTCAAAATACGGCACAACTCGTAAAAATACTCAGCGATACTACACAACAAAACGTCTCATAAGATATAATCATTATCTTCCATCATCATCTCCGAAAGGCTCAATTTTGTTTTGTTGTTGTTGTGGGTAATGTAATCCAAAGATTTTGTTTCAAGGTGCTGTGTAATTCAGTCGTTTTCATTCCTGTTGTCCTTTCCAGTGTTTTGTCGTACAAATATCAAAGTAAACCTAGATACACACAATATATTACAAGATGGAATCAAGCTTTTCCTACACGCCTTGCATGCCTATCCTAGTGCCGTGTGGGTAATTACTTGCATTAACCTGCGAAGCAAGCCCTGGGGGAGAGGAGGGGGGATTGCCCCCTCCTCTCCTCCAGGGCTTGCTTCCCAATCCCCCCTCCTCTCCCCCAGGGCTTGCTTCGCAGGCTAACTTGCATAATTTTAACGTTCCAATCTCAACTCACAAAAAAATAGCATGTCTGTCTAAGAATAAAGGGCCAGTTTCTTAAACGACATTTAGCAGTTGTATTTACTTTTGTGTACGGTGTCAAGAGGGCCGAAAGCTAGTAGCGGAAGGACATTTATCTAATCAAAAAAAAAAAAAAACAATAAGCAAAAAGCACTTATTGACAATGTCCTTTAAAGGGAAAGTACCGTTTAGAAAATGTTTACTTATATCAAAAGTTCCTTTCTTTCCTTGTCCTAACTGGCTAGTCATCTGTGGTAAAAGCATTTTTAGTTGCGAATAATTACGTTCCAAATACCAGCATTTTCAAATTGAAAACCGCCGTATCTTTGTAATGGGGTAGCAATAGTCAAGCATGCTCATTAAATCCGTACTGAGACGGATGTAAACAAGGAAAAATGCGAAGAGGAGGCGCTCTTGATAAAGTTCTCGACTTGAATTTTGAACTAGGCGAGAGGGTGTATTACATCCATTTATGTTTCAAACGAAACATGGCTCGTCTTCAGGGGAAAAGGATACCGCTGTTGAGGAGAAAGAGAAGGAAAGTCAGAAAAATGAGTTTCAAGAAGAAACGTCGAACCGCTCAGTCGCTCACGTCTTGGAAATCGCGTGTAGTTCCCTCGCGGCAACTGTAAAGGGAAACCCTACGAAAAAAAGAAAATGTATGCTCCCAAGAATTAAATCTACTAGGTCACCGACTCAATTTGAAAGGCAAAGGTTTTTACCATAAAAAAAAAACCTAGCTCTCGAGTGGTAGTTATTTTTACCAAAAAAGACCGCAGTGCCCGCGACGGATTAATTTCACACAGTTGTCTCGGAATGAAACGAATTATTTTTGCAGTTTCAAAAACCCAGCTTCGGTGTATAACCGAACACAAGCCATTTGGACTTACGAACAGCCCCCGTTGGCATGCAACAAGTTAAACATGATAGACTCTAAAAACATTGTTCGTAGGCGTAAACACCGACAAAATTGATTAGGAACATTCAGTTTCCAAAATTATTGCAGACAAAAGGTAGAAGTTTATTGTTAAGAATTAAATTTTGTTTGTTTCAGCTTTTACCTTTAAATTGTAATTGGTGTTTTTATCATTACTGCTTAGAATTAGTTTCACCGCAATATTTTTTTCATTTTTAAGTGTTTAGAATGACGTGTTTTAGGAAAAGTAGAGCTTCGTTTTTTGCGACGCGCGCCAGAAGGTAGCCTCTGTGTTAAGACAAAATTGAAATCTAGAAAGAAATTTCATTAAGCACTAGTGTGTTTTTATACTCATTTTAAAAGTCTTAAGAAAGAGGTATGGAAAGACTATATTATTTTAATCAATTCTATACAAAAATTAAAGGAAGCAGGTTGATCATTTCTTATTCCTTTTGGCGATTTCATCTAAGTACAATTTCTGTTACCTTTTTCTTATTTTGGCTGTAAATTTAGCATGGAAGCAGATGTTCAGTTTCTATAGTGATTAGAACTTGTTGTAGTATATTTCGCGGTTGGCTCCGTTTTTAATTAAGTCGATCTGCTTGTTAAGGAAGAGAGTAAGTCTCTCTCTTGTCAAAGTTAACCTCGTAAAGGAATTCCTGGAAATTCCTTCTTCTCATATTTTTTATTATTCTCAGACTCGTTTTTGGAACAAAAGTCTATATCAAATTCACGATCAAGGAATATTTCTTAAATTTCGATTGAACAGCTTCAACACCTCTTTCTTTAAGGAGACCCCGGGTGTAAACAGCTTTTGCCTTTTCATTTTCCGCACTGAATTTTGAATTAGATGACCTGCGTAAGACCACGTAGCATCTCTGGGGGCGGTACTCGTGGACGCCCCTTCTTATCTCGTATATTTCGTTGTTATGTAACAATCTTCTAAGGCTATTTTCTCTAAAGATATCTTTTCAAGTATAATTCTAATTCTGTCAGTAGGTTAATTGTAATTTTTATATTGTCAATCTTGTTTCTGTTCTGGCCGGTGTTAACCATAAAAATATAAAATCTACGGTAGAAAAGTATTTCGTGACTGCGTAAACAACTCAAAGGTGCATACTCAGTATGCAGGAACTGTCGTAACTTAACGTGATTCGATGGTTGAAATAGAGTGATGACGAAACAAGAAGACTGACAGCTTAGTAGCGTCACCTTTAGCATCACCTGGTACACAGCATTTTTCAATCAGAATAGAACAGAGTTGAGTTCTACAGATCAGAGAGAAATCGAATTGTTTAGTGTTGTGCTGATAACTGAGCTAGTCCCAAGGAAAATGAATTGTATCAAGGGTCAAGCCAGGAAATAAAGGAGTTCAACCGAGTGTTAGGAAAAATCTTCTAACATCTGTCATATAGTGTTTATTTTAGAAATTCCTCGAATATAAATGAAGCTAAAATGAAACTGTCGATTCCTTTTTAAAAAACATCAGCACTGCATATGTACGTCAAGTAGTTGATTGGAAGACATTAAATACTGTTAAATTATTTCTATTGTGTCCAACCGATATGACATAGTGTATGGAGAGTGCCCGTATTTCCTAGAAAGAGTTGTGTAAAAAATAGAAATAAGGAATTTTCTGGAAATTACTCGGAAGCTAATTCGGAAGCTAATAAGAAACAAGGAAGCTTCTGGCTGGCGTATTTTGTTATTATGCAATAGCGATGTCATGATACTAAAAATAGTTGTATTACAGATCCCTGGAATATTTTAGAACATCTTGTAAAACATATATAAGGAATCGAGATCGGTTAAAGTTAGCCTTTCTTCAGAGAGCCTTTTCTTCAGTTAATCTTTCCTGACTGAGTCATTTTGGACAGCCAGTGAGCCAGAGAGGAGAGCTAGTGTATTGTGAAACAGTGTGTTGTCGCGGAAAGTGTGCGGACATCGATAAGTTACCAAGATCTTTGACGATAACTGTGAGTTGTGCTGTAATGCACTGAGATTAGCGTTTTATAGCGGGCTCTAAGATAAGGGGACAGTTATTGTACTGGTTATTGGTATCGCTCCCTTAGTAAGATTGTTATGCCAGTCAATAAAGTAGTTGAGCTCATACGAGTTATATCTTTCTGTCGGTTGTGAAAATACCGTAACAATGGTGAAGTATGGGCGCCTGTTTACTATCATGTTCAACTTCATCCAATACTGAATCGTTAATTTGTTGCAAACGTGTCATGAATTACTATTAGAGACCTGGGGCCCGTTTCTCGAAAAGTCCCGTTAACTTAACGGGCTCGAAGCCACGTTCTAAAATCAAAATTTAGAGGATAGGAAAGCAGGTTCTGGCACTCAAACCAGTCCTTTCTGTTTCTTTAGCTGATAGTTTGATTGCATCATTTTCAAAACTTTTTCGAAATCCACATCTTGAATGAAACCAGAACAGCTTTACGTGCCCGTTAAGTTACCGGTACTTTCGAGAAACGGGCCCCGGCTTCTGTTGCGAAACCTTCGGTCAGTTCAGGCAAGTGGAAACTGTCCGTAGTTAAGAAAAATAAGAGCATCCCTGGAAATTTATTTGCGTAAAACAAAGAGGAAGGGAGATATTACAGTTTCATGCTTAACCGTTTATTCTAAAAACAAAAAGGATTCTCAACGGGAAGCGAATTATACATACGACAACAGATGGCTAAATTTTGCTGATTACTCAGCTGGTGTGCCTTCTTGTCTGAACTGAAGACAAAAATGTGAATTCTAATCCGGTCACGATGCTAGGCGTTGTTGAACAAACATTTTCAAAACCAAAAGCTATAGCCCTCAATACAATTAAATGATAACTGGATCTGTCCGCACATGTTTGATAATCTCGCCTCGTTCAGTTTTTGTCGAGGTAAAGAAGCAAACAGCTTTCGTCTCAATATTAAAGTCTATTCATCATTATGAATAAGCTTTCGATTATGATTGGCCGCGAAAATGACAGTTGTCATGCAATTTCATTCGTGCTTTTTTCCCATAAACTGAATCTTGGATTTCATTGAACAGGGCTCTTCGCTTGAAAGACGGATCTATACTGCAATTGAAGGCGATCGTCATGGATCCTCTCTTGGGAAATCTCCAGAAACAAGTTACTTGTTCGATTTGTCTCGATACCTACACCGAGCCCAAAACTATATCATGTCTTCACACGTTTTGCTGTAAGTGTTTAGAGAGACATGCAACAGTAAGCCAGAAACAAGGAAAATATCGATGCCCCGAGTGTCAAGCAAAAATCGAATTACCAGAAGGAAATCGCTTCGACCGTTTGCCCACCAGCTTTTTTCATTTAAGTCTGTTAGATGTCTTCGAAACAGGAGATCGCGAAGCCGTTCAGAGGCTGCAACAAGAGATTTGCTCGCAACATAAGGAGGAAAGAGTTCGATATTACTGCTTCTCGTGTAAGGCGTCTATTTGTCCTGTTTGCTTCGCTGAAGAACACCGAGGCCATGAGTTCGACGTGTTTGAAAAGGTAGAAGAAGAGAATAAGAAATACGTCATGTCGAACGTTCAGACCATGAAGGCAGAGGCAAACTTATGTAAGGCAGAGATTGGACAATTTGAAAAAACATTTCAAGATGTGGAAACAGCCATCGCAATTGCTAAACAAGAAGTGTCGGAGGCAGCTGAACAAGTGATCACAAAGGTGAGAGAGCAAGAAAAACAACTCATGGAGTCCCTGGAAATGACGCGTACAAAGAAAACCGAGCGAATTAACTTGGCCAAAAAAGAAGTGGAAACTCTGATGAAACAGATGATCCAAGCAGCTGAGTTTGGGGAGACTCTGGTGCAGGGAAGCTCAACTGCGGATATCATTCAGAACAAAGAGGCTTTGAGACAGAAATTCGAAGAGCTTCGTGGAGTTGAAGTTCCAAAACAGCGCCAGACTACATTTATCAAATTTACGGCGGCATCGCAACACAACTTTAACCTGGGTTCTATTCAAGTCTCCGAGAACCTGACAAACGCAGCGCCAACTCTGGAAGGACTGGATCAAGCTTTCCAGGCTGATGTACAAAAGGAGTTAACGTTGTGCCCAAAACCGTCTGGAGGAGAGATGAATGTCCAGGCTGTTCTCAAAGATCAAGTCAAAGTGCTGATGAATCCCGCCAAAAATGCAACAAACGTGATTGATGACGAGAAAGGAAATGGCAATCTTAACATGATGTTAACACAAAAGGTATCTGGGGCCTGCAATACTGAAGTTAACATGGATGGTGATAAACTACCTACCTGTCCCATGACTGTGCCGGTAAAAAAACGCGAACTCGTTGTGGTCGGTGAGTTGAAGTTGAAGCCCTTTCCAGGAAGCAAACTTGGAGGAATATGTGGAATTGCTGTGAATACAAAAGGCGAGATAGTTGTGACAGATAACTATGGCCACTGTGTCCATGTCTTTGACAAAAATGGCAACTGTTTGAGAAAAATCGGAAGTAGGGGTAATCATAAAGAACAATTTCAGTACCCAGTAGGCATTTCGTTTATAAGTGACAGCGAGGTCCTAGTTGCAGATCAAGGCAATAAGAGAATACAACGACTAAATATTCAGACAGGAACTTTCATGACATGTTTTGGAAAAGACGGAAGAGGAAAAGGAGGAGAGTTCGATAATCCAGCAGATGTTGCTGTGGATGATGAAGGGCGCATTGTTGTAACCGAGTGGGGCAATGATAGGATACAGGCTATGTCAAAGGAGGGAGAGTCTATTTTAAAATTTGGCTCAAAGAAATTAGATGGTCCTACTTGCTGCCTTCCATACAAAGACATGTTTTTCGTATCTGATGGAGGCAGTCATTGTGTAAAAGTTTTTAATCAGACAGGAAAATTCTTATACAAAATCGGCAAACGAGGAAAACAAGATGGACACTTCCGCATGCCATATGGTTTGCTTGTGGACAGCTCCGAGAATCTTCTTGTATGCGACTATGATAACGATCGAGTTCAGCAGTTTTCATTGGACGGTCACTTCCTAAGCAAGAGTGCCACTCGCTTATCAACACCTATTGCGATAACAACTACACCAGATGGGATGATTCTTGTGACTAGTGATTCGAAGAAAGTGTACATTATAAAAGAGAACTTTGCTTGAGCCACTTTTCATTTGTGTTTATCGGTTTGATGAACTGACTTTAAAACATTGGAAAATTTTCGATATTTAAAATAGAAGAGTTCTTTGATAGAGGGACTTGTTCTTAGAATAATTAAGATAAACGTGACGAGGAAGTTTGAAGCTCATAACAGATGTATCATGTTTGTATACAATTATCGAGGCTGTCGTTAGCAAACTTCACTCGTATTCAAGCTACGAGGTCAGTTGCCAGAGAAACGAATTTAGAGTCAGTTACCTCTGTTTACAAGTCTCGTGTTCTTATCTTGTTTTATGCTCTATTACATTTGTAAGCCTTCAACGATTCATTAAAGTAGTTTTGATCGATACGGCACCGAACTGATATTTTGTTTTCTCCTTCGATCCGTTTCAAGATGATTTTCCATGTCCGAGCTATTTTTTAAAACGAACCTTTCAGAGGCTTTTTACAGTTTCCAGCCCCTTAGTTACATAGCTCATTTATAGCTCCCCCTCCCAAAATGTTTCCCTTCGGTTACAGGCCACGAATCCTCTCAACCTTTATTAACAATATAATGACACTTCAACAGTGGATTTTCTATTACCTAAGCTGTTAGACGATTGTAAATTCATTTCAAGAACATAGGCAAGAGAAACTGTCGAACGTTCTATAGATATGCGTTATTAACCAAGCTTGTTCGGTCAAGATGGTTGGGTATTGGCCGAGTTTTTCTTTTTTTGTTTGTTTTTGCCTTTTTATGGAGCGAAAAGAAGTCGAGGTCCATAAAATTGCGAAAAAAGAACAAGGCTAATATCTAGCCATCTTGACCGAACAAGCCTGGTTAATAAAGGATTTATTATATTGTAAAAAGAGTTCGCTTTATTAAGAATTAAGAATGACTTTTTTCCTTCGAGAGCCGGGAAAGAAAGCCAAATGTGCTTGTAGCACACCAAACCCACGAGAGTCGTTTCTGTTTTCTCCGCTTTGACTATCTTCTGCCGCTTTTTCCGTTTCCATCACTGAAATTGTCGAAGAATAACGAACGTAGTTCTAGTACTATTTTTTTCATGTGCGGGATCAATGCAGGCAATCTCGAGCGGGCAAGGTGGTCCCATCTTGTCCGTTCGGGTGGCCAATCAGATCACAGGACCCGCTTCATCTTGCCCACGAGCGCTGAGAGCGATGTAATAAGAGGATTTATAGAGTCGAGAGCACCTGGGGACTAGGCTGACTCAACCCTCTATCGCAGGGTGCTCAGTAGGGTACGAAGAAAGCGACCCAGTTACGTCATATTTCTAAGCATTCTAGCGACAAGCTAAAACGACCTAAGACTTGAAGTAACTTCAAACTATTAGTTCGGTGGGAAAGAAAGACAAGAAAGACAAGAAAGAAGCAATAAGCAGCCAAAAGGAGTTACGAAGGCTAATAATACACCGTAGAAGTTAAACGCAGATCATGATTTAACGATCTCGTAAAATTAGATATAATGCTTCGAGATGCGAAACCATTGCTTCGCTTCCTAAGCATTTCATTTTGGTATTGGCAGGTAAAGTTTTTAAAAATCTTTTTCAAGTTAAAAACAAACATATATATAAACATTTTTTTCAAGTTAAAAACAAACATGTATACCACAAGTGTGGGATCGTCTGGGGTGACCAGATCGGTTCTCCCCCATCCTTGCATCAGCACTGCACTGATGAGGCCCAGAAGGCCGAAACAGTTCTGTCTGCAGTTATATATGTGTATATATATGGCAAATTTTCTTTTCAAACATTTATTCTATTTATATATATATTGAGCACTGTTCTACGAAAATCAAGTCACACTTTATATATATAAATTCTGTATGCGAGGGAAACCCTGAGCCTGTACACCCCAAGTAATCATACTTAAATAGAATAAATGTTTGAAAAGAAAATTTGTCCTGAGCGGGATTTGAACCCACGTCTCCTGTTACTAGTCAGGTGTGATGACCACTTCACTATCAGGACAACCATGCTGGCAACACGGCAATCGAAGATAGGATTTACGTGATCGGAGACGTGCTCTCCCGGGAAACTTAATTTTCAAGGTGACAGGGTAGGGGAAGCCTATAACCCCATATGAAACCCAACTAAGGATCTATTTAAGATACACGACCGAAATCAATTTAGCGGATGACAAAGGAGGATCTAATTACGGATACAGGCTAATTTCAATTAAAATTAGCCTGTATCCGAAATCCAACTCTAAAATCAACCAATCAAAATGCTCTATTG